GGCCAGCACGCCACACAGGGGGAGGAGAGGAATAGTGGCATAGATGTAATAGACGGAGGGAGGGGAGGGGGAGGGGAAGGGGGAAGAACAACCAGAGCGACAGTGAAGGCTGGTTGAAGGTCTCGATGTTTGGCGACGGGGGGCAAATCAAAAAGCAACTTTGGGCTGACGGGAAAGTTTGAGGATGTTGGATGTTTGATTTGAGGAGCCTAAACAGCACAAAAGTTGGGGCGGGTAGAGGAAGACCGATGATGCTATAAATAGTATGGGGAGTGACTTGCATCTGGCGGGTTAGCGAGCACCAATCAATACGCAGGAACGCCGAGGCAAATATATATATCCAGAAAGGAGTTCAAACTACAATCTAGTGATGCGTATCAGATCAATAAACGCAAAAACAAACAGTTAAACTATCCTCATCAAATATACACAGAAATCCCACACCCTGTCTGTTTACGGAGGACGAGGTAGAGGTTGTTCGATGCCCACAATTTAGAAGTCATGTGACACTGTAACCAACCAGACAGTCAGTCAGTCAGTCGGCCAGTTCAGTCAAGTCCAGTCCATCCGTGGACTGTGAAGAGAGTTGAACACCAGTGACTGATTATTATATCCTGCTGAACTACAGTGAATACATATATAACTTATTCTATCATGTAACTTATCAATAGTTACCATCGTTATGCGACGCTTCCAATAGGACTCTGGGGGTTTGACGGGAAAAGAGGTCGTGCAACTCACTTCACTTAGTTGCCCCTCTATTATCCCTCCCCTTTTATACTTCTATTGATTTGTGGTGTTGCAGTCTCTTCTCTGTCGATCCATGTGCAGATTTTCTTTGTTTTTTTTTTTTTTTTTTTTTTTTTTTTTTTTTTTTTTTTTTGTTTTTGTTTTTTTACAACCTTTTCTTCCCCCTCCTAGATTCCCGTTATTTGTGCCTTTTTCGCCGCATCCGGAATCACCAATTTCTTTTGCCCTCTCTACCAGCATCCAGCGGATATAAGGAATGGGGCGCCCTGTGACTGGTACGCCCCATTGTTCGGGGGGCAGGGTATGTTGATAGCATGTCTTCTGGTTGACTGCAGAAAATTCCAGGACAGTGTTTCTCTCCAGTCCAATACACTGGTATCAAATATCTAATTGAGATGAGTTGAGGTGAGCGTGGTGGTATCTACATGTGCAGTATGTTGTGCTTTTGCTCATTAACAGCAGTCTGGCACTGGAATGATGTTTGGGTGCTGCAAGTGTTTATTTTTTTTATTTTTATTTTTATTTTTTATTTATTTATTTATTTTATTTATTTTTTTTTTTTTTGTATACGCGACTCTGCCGGCTTGCCCGTGGCTACACTTCAACGATGCGAAACCTTTTTTTTGAGGTAGGTATATGACAGCATGGTCGAGGACGTCACTCAGGGTTTGTTGACTCTATTAGGCGGTTCCGATGCCGCGACTGTTACTGAACTACGGAGGCAGAAGATTGGTCTTTGGGAGCCGGAGATGTTTTCTTTCTTTCTCCTTTCTTCTCCTATCTGTGAAAGGAATGTGTTTCTTCCATGCCGATAACCTCCCTATTTCTATGACAAGGAATATTTCATGCTAGCATTCTTTCACTCATTACACAACTCATGGATATCATAAGTATTGCTAAACATCAACAACTAGTATCATAAAACTCACACTCAGTCCATTCCTCTCATTCTCGCCTCTCTTTGCTTTCTCAAGCGGCAATGGCCAAAGTGACAAGGCACGACTCTCCCAACTCAAATCTCTTTTCTCAAGTTCCTACTCCGTATTGTTCAACATACATCTTCTCTGAAACTGAAGGTCTCAACCGAAGAAAAGGTGTAACGTCGATTCGCAGGCAGCGTGAGGGATGGGGATGCTGTTTGCTGGTATAGGGATTTCTTCGCACCAGCTCTGAGTATCGGAGGTCATGGGGCTATGGTAGTGCCGAATGAGTTCCCTAGGATTTGGTAGCTAAACTTGCGAAGACTGACTGAGTTTTGAATATGTTGGATTTTTCCGACTCCAGGAGCCTCTGGGAGTAATTCCACGGATATTTGGACACTTCTCAACAAGCTTTTCCGCGACCAACAGTTCCACGGTTGAAGTCCTGGGGGAGCTTGTGCTAATTTTAGATTTCATAACAAAACATCAAAAAAAAAATCCTAGGAATGGAGAAATTGATTCTATTCTGGGGATATGTTAGATTGATTTCGTGTCGGTTTGGTATTAAAGGAGTAGAGCGGTGGAAAAGAATCAGCGGATTGCTGTTTTCTTATTATGTCGCTTAGAATCCATATAATGGTTTCAAAGCTTGACTCTGGGGCAGCCCATCTTGTGGTATTGTCCATTAGAATTTGTTGCAGGGGAAGGATATCTGGAACCAAATGTTTTAGATGTGGCGACTGTGAGGCAATGGTCAAGACTAGAACTGCACCCAGAGATCTTGTAGTGTCTGCGGTTAGAGATTAAATGATAATCGACATATAGGAAAGGTAGCTGTAGTGCCAGTGAGAAAGAAAAAAAAAAAAAAAAAATCCAACTTACGAATGCGAAAGTGTCCAAGTGTACTGCGAAGGCTTCTTTAAAATTTCTCCTGTATTCTGCAGGAATAGCCGACAGCTCTCAATACAGACCTGTGATTTCTCCAAGATCATCTGTGTTGGCTCCACGCCTCCCGGGAGTGAAACGGCGTATAAAACATATTGACGGTGAATTATGTGCCTTGCTGCATAGTAGCGAATCCTCAGTACCCTTTCGCGATCATCGATATCTGACTCTACACCAAGAGTTGGTTTGATTATATCTGGGACAGAGTTGTACCATAGTAAAAGTTGTTGATCAAGTTCGGACGTGATCGTTGTGAGCGATGCAATAGACATTGCCAACGCGGATACATCAGACTTGGAGCTGGTTTGCCCTCTACTATATATCGAGTTGTCAACTCGGTTAAGGAGGCGTCTCATCGATATCTCTGCAAGGTAGCTCAATCCGTCTCGATCGGTTAGATTGCCAGCTTTGGGAAACGGCATCTCATCGACGAAAGTTTCGATTCCACTCCGTGGGAGGTTAAACTCGCCAAGGAGGTCACTAAATATAATATGAACTTGGGATGAACCGGGGTTTTCCCTTCTTACTTTCTTTTTTCATGGAATATGGATAATTCGTGCAAACTAACCATTCAATGAGAAAGCAGCTCCAGCAAGCCTCCAAGATCCGCTCTTTGTAAGATTCATCGGCATCGCTATCTTTACTCCTGCAAGCTCGTTACCTTAGCTCTTGAACCCTCCGTAATCCCAAATATTGCGTCCACCACTAACCTGGACAACAGCAACTGCACCTCTGTAGAAGCTAAATGAATGAGCTTCCAGCTATGCAGAGGTCGGGCCATATAAGCAAAGTAAACTCCACCGAATATCAAAGTCTGAGGCAGAAGTAAGTTAGACCCCAACGATACCGCAGACTCTGCCATGAGAATCTGCAATGCAGGTTGGAAGTATTCCATCCCAGGAGCCCAGTCACCACTGCGGGCGCCAGCCCCTGAAGCTTGTGAGGCAAGAACCCCCAGCGCAAAAACCACAAGACACTGGGCCGACTGCAAGCTGTAATCTAGACCGGTGGCCATTACGTTTTCATATATCGTGTAAAATTCGTCGGGATCTAGAATCGGATGGCACGGGTGAACCATGGAAAAGAACGTAGCTATTAGCAAATCAGCGACGTCTCTGCTGATATACGGCAGATTCTGTTCGGGACTCATCCAGCTCCCCGGCGGCGGAGATCGCTGGGACTCTGTTCGAAAGAAGTAATCTTCTGGAAACTCTCCTGCCAAAGACTTAACGATTGGTAATGCTAGCAGACTATTTGTTGATGTCTGATGTATTGACGGGATTATGAAAGAGGGAAATTCCGCATTTGGGTCAGCAAATTTGGGACCGGCATCCGGGACCGGCGGCACGGGAGTTCGCGAAACTGATGGAGATTTGGCGTGCAGTCTATTGGTGCAGGATAAACCAGCCTGTGGCGGGGGACCAGTTGTTGAATATGCCGGTAAGGGGAGAACATCCGAGGCTGCCTGTGGTGGTGGTACTGCCCTTAAAGCGTGCTGTTGAGAAATAGAAGCGATTGCTTCCGAATGCGTCTGGAGCAACGTTTCGATCCGTTCGAATCGTCTTGATATTGATGCCGGAATAGTTGAAGGTTCCAGGCTGTATGAAAGGCACCCGTCAATGTCCCCTATATTAAAGGTAATAACGGACAGTTAACGCGCATACCGCTGAGTTGGGAGCTCCTGGTAGTGACAGTTTGCCTCTGCCTCGGTGCAATTGCCACATACTGGCTTCTTCCCATCGCAGCGACGTTTTCTAAAGTGGAATGATGTTAGTATCAGTAAGCTAATTGGGGCTGATATTACACATATACGGTACCCTCTGGTCTGAACTGCGATGCGAGGACAGGTCTTCAAGGCTAATTCCGCTTGGCAGGCCAACTGCAGGATAAACTCGAGCTAACTGACCTTTGGCGACAGAAATCGCACGCAAGAAATGTGCGTTTACGTGGATAGCTCATAGTCATCGGTTAGGAATGTTATCCTTTAGTTTTTAAAAAATGTCGAGACAAGGTGAGCGATGGACATGGTGGAGAATGAAGATGAATCGAACACGTAACTGCGAGGTATAAAAGATCAGATCGTAATAAACATCGCTGACGAAAACTGCTGCTAACTAGTTGGTGGAACTGAGCGAGACGCAAATTTATGAGGCGAGCTGTTGGAGCTCTTCCCTACAGTTACAGAACTGAGAAAAAGGAAAACCTCCATGGTTGAGACTGTATTGTCTATTCTCGTTCTATCATCTGGCATTTTCAGCTACAGTCCCCCCATTGCCCTCACCAGATCATCCGGGGACTGGTGGGTATGGCACTCGTCATAGGAGCTCGTATTTGGAGACGGCGTGTCGTTTTCGCCCCTTGCAGCCACGCCACTGCAGCCCTGTAGGCTGTCGCGTGGGGTTCCCAAGATTGTGGTTCATTTTCACAGTTCCCTTTGGCTGCTAACCTGTCCGAACAACACCGAGAAAGCTTGTCGAAACGCCACCTGGGACGTCTTGAACAAGCCACCGACTCCCTAGATCAAGGCGCGAGCAAGAAGATGAAGGAGGTAAAACGTTGCCGGAGTCTTAGTTCTTCAGAAAGGCAAAAGATGGCCCAGCTTGAGAGTGTAAAATTATACTGTGTTCGCAGACTGGGAATATTATTATTTCTATACTTCCCCCAATTTTAATTCACTAAACTGATGGGATTGATCATGCACGGAATACTGTATGTAGTATGTTATGAAGAATTGAAACTTGCTGCCATACATAATAATTGTAATGAGGAAGAAACAAGTCACTGTTCCCTCTCACAGGAGGCACCACTATTGAAACTGGATCAGGCGAATGGACTCCTCAAATAACCACGTAGAATACAGCTTGAAGATGTGAATACTCTTTTCCAACTTGTCCAAAGCCCTGGAAGAAGTTTCTTCTCACATGCGGCCGCATACTCAATGCGCTCTTGTTACGCATCCACCAAATCCCGAGATCAGGCACGTTGCATAGCGTTTCAATTCGTGAATACAAAAATGGACGTATTTCTTCTGAAAATAAGATCCATGTCTTCGAGGATGCATCAGATGGGCAATCAGGAAGTAGAAGCACAAGAAACCATCGAATACTATATGCCTTGCCTTTACCGACAGAGGGTTTAAATAGAGATTGAAACAACAACCCAAATCTTTTATTCCGACTTTCGTAGATGGGATATTGAGAAAGCTGCATATTCAGATGGTTCCTGTCACTGCAGCAGTAACATGAGAATATCAATATCAACCAACTTCAGTGTTGTAAACCCAGGGAAACATAAAACTATACAATTGGATAAGGGGGTCCTCATTTGAATTGAAGCTGATATATCAATGACATAACTACCTTTCGCGAAGCTGTTCCTTCAGAATACGTAGCACTGGAAGAGTAAGCGACGACGGCCTACGTCAAATGGTGAGTTGACTTCCTTGAAGAAACTGGATATCAAGTCTGCATTGATTACCAGCAGCCCAATAAACCCCTTTTCACAATGACAATAGACAACGATCAGCTGCTTACTCCGTGCTCACTGCACCGATCAGGAGATGATATACACTGGAGCTCGCCACAAAAGGAATAGCTCCAGTAGCCAAGGCACCGGCTAAACCTGACCCGATTAGCTTTATTATTTCGCAAATATATATCGATAGGGGTGGTAACAGGGGTGGGTTTTGTTCGTAGTTGAACGCCTAGGGTTGGATATTAATAGTGGAGGATCTTAGGAAGCAGGATAAGACATGGATGGTAGAGTTTTATGGGTAGGTAGTTATAGATTTGATGTTTGACGTGGCTTGTTTCCTTGTTTCTTCAAATAATTTACAAGGTTTCAGGAGCATGGGAGTCATAATAGTTATTTGATGAGGAAATTGTCTTTAAGAAACAGAACATTTGTCTTTCCAGAAATATAAAATGTTCGTATATCTTCCCGCGGTTCTAACGGAAAGGAGGTTTCTCAAAGGCATCTTCCTTATAACAATAAGGTCGCAGGATAAGCGCGTCATAATGCCAACAAACGACCATATCCCTCGCCAACCAAGAAAAAAAAAATATAAAAATAAATAAAAATAAAAATACAGCAATTAAGTTGCAAAAAGAATGGAACACGCGTTGCGACAATGGTAAGCACTGTAACAAAAGAAATACGACTAGTCGAGTCGCTACCAAAAACGGGAATCCCACGGATCGCAGATCAAGGTGAGACAAACAACCAATCGCTACCCATGAGCAGATAAACATAAGAAAAATCATGCAGAGCATAGAAATAAGCAACACCTAAATCCATGCAGGGTGGTATGCATTGTGATATGCCATAATAATAAACACTGTACAACTCTTTAAACATAAAAGGAAAAGTAACGCGAGATCTTCGAGGATGATAGCGCGTCTGGACAACCCCGTCGTGGCAACGGTGCAAAACATCCATTGAGAGAACGAGATTGGTAGGAAGGGGCGGAACACGAAAGGTTTTTGCCTCCGCCTATGTCTCTGGATCCAGCCACTCCATGGCTGGAGGATGCAGTTGTCCATACTTTCGGGTGTAGATTCGTCTTTAAATAATCAGGACGTCCCTGGGTATGGAATCTGCCGCCCTGACGTTCGGTTGTTTTCAACCGTCGAGGAGGCAAGGCTCCGGGGATCATCTCCTTGACCCTCAGTGCGAGTAAGGGGGGATTCAACATCAACCTGTGTTCACACTCCTTTACTATCACAATGAATCTCATTTCACTCAATCTGACGATTGGAGAGGATTTCAGCCAGGTTCCTTCGAAAACGGGAGCTCAGTGTTCGGAAAGCTCTTTTGCTCGGTGCCGCTGGAGGAGGGGATGGCCCTGGTGACTGGGACGGAGCAGCTTGATCGTTTAAATCACAGTCTGCTCCTGGAGTCATTTCTGGTTGAAGTTCTGGTGCTGAAGGCGAGGATTGAGGTGGAGACGGGCGAGTCGATACTATGAACCCAGACGACGGGGATGCGGAGGAGGAGGCCATCTGTGTTTGAGCTTGCGGCTGCTCTTGTCCAGGGGGCACAACGGGTGTGGAGGTAGCGTAGATGGTTATTGTTTCTTTTACAGTAACTGTGGTTTTCAGGTATTCGATTGCCTTGGGGAGGGAGAATTCTGTTTGTGTTGGGAGAATGTTAGAAGGTATATTAGACGACGCATTGTTACTACTGGGCAAACGGGAAGGTAATAGGATGGTGGCGGGTGGGTTGGATTCTGGACATGTTGCTGTTGATTGGGGTGGTTGGGTGGTTGTGGAG